TTAGCCCATTTGATCCGTGAGGAGCCTGTGGCCTTGAAAGACATCCCGGACCTGCATCTTGGTGCCTTGGCCGAGAAGGGCCGCTCTCGTTGCAAAGTTCTCTAAGCCGGGGAAGCGCGGACGAGCCCCACGTGTTCGTGCAATCTGCAAAACAAACAAAACCCTGTGATTGGAGAGCTGCTTCCTACGACCCAGGGCTAGGCTAGCAAGTGGTTTGCAATTCTGTCTGCTCCCCCTCCTCACCGAAGGCCTCCGGCTGGAAAAGTGGAAGAATGAAGCATTTTTACTTGATTTAATGATGGCCTGAACTTTTCCAAGTTTTTCACGTTTTTCAATTTTAGTGAAATATTGATAATGTGAACCCTGGTGAGTCAGAACTGTTTGTCAATGAATTTAAAATGCACAAGTGAGTTGTACATACAACAAGCAGTCTTTTGCATCCACAACTGTTTCTTGAGCACACAGTAGGTGCTCAATAATTTTAACCCCCGTCTGTGAGGATTTGAAGAAAAAGGTGTGAGCTCTGCTGAAACTTATTAAACACTATTTGCTGACATTCAATAAAGGCGATGGGGGTTTTGATGGTTTTCTCATGTTTATTGTCTTTGTAAGATTGCAGAATCTTTCTGCTGAGTGCACCCTTCACGATGAAGTTTAAAATTCTCTGACAGGAAAACAGATTCTGGGAGAAGGTGGATATAGAAAATGTCTTTCATCTGCAGCCCTGCCTCATCAGGTTGGCTAAAACTATGTTGCAAGCTTTTATGTGGCACCAAGCCTTTACAAAATAAATGGAATTCCAGAGATGGCCTACAAAACAACTGACCATTTATTTGGGTTAGTTGGAGAGGAAAAAAACTAAGAGCAGAATAAAGAAGTGTTTCAGGAAACATTTCACAAGCTCTGTATTTGGAGAATTGATGCTATTGCTGTTTGATTGCAAGAGCGTTGACAAAGGTAAACTGAAGTGCATTGAGTTATGGGATAGCAGATATTTTCAACATATTTAATCCATCTCAATACTAGGCTGGCCTTTGCTGAGTCAACCTAGGTTCTTCCCCTCCCCCACCTAACTCCACCCCACCTCCATACCGGTTTGATAATAACTTTTAAAAGTCATCTGTATCTTCTTTGGGAAGATGGACCTCCAATATGTAGNTGAACTTTTCCAAGTTTTTCACGTTTTTCAATTTTAGTGAAATATTTATAATGTGAACCCTCGTGAGTCAGAACTCTTTGTCAATGAATTTAAAATGCACAAGTGAGTTGTACATACAACAAGCAGTCCACTTTTGCATCGACAACTGTTTCTTGAGCACACAGTAGGTGCTCAATAATTTTAACCCCCGTCTGTGAGGATTTGAAGAATAAGGTGTGAGTTCTGCTGAAACTTATTAAACACTATTTGTTGACATTCAATAAAGGCGATGGGGGTTTTGATGGTTTTCTAATGTTTATTGTCTTTGTAAGATTGCAGAATCTTTCTGCTGAGTGCACCCTTCAAGGTGAAGTTTAAAATTCTCTGACAGGAAAACAGATTCTGGGAGAAGGTAGATACAGAAAATGTCTTTCATCTGCAGCCCTGCCTCATCAGGTCGGCTATAACTATGTTGAAAGCTTTTATGAAGCACCAAGCCTTTACAAAATAAATGGAATCTTAGAGATGGCCTACAAAACAACTGACCATTTATTTGGGTTAGTTGGAGAGGAAAAAACTAAGAGCAGAATAAGGAAGTGTTTCAGGAAACATTTCACGAGCTCTGTATTTGGAAAATTGATGCTATTGCTGTTTGGTTGCAAGAGCGTTCACAAAGGTAAACTGAAATACATTGAGTTATGGGATAGCAGATATTTTCAACATATTTAATCCATCTCAATACTAGGCTGGCCTTTGCTGAGTCAACCTAGGTTCTTCCCCTCCCCCACCTAACTCCACCCCACCTCCATACCGGTTTGATAATAACTTTTAAAAGTCATCTGTATCTTCTTTGGGAAGATGGACCTCCAATATGTAGNGTCATTGTTTTGGACTAAGTTATTGCACAAGGCCCCAACAGCCCAGGCTTAAAATCAAAACGGAGCCATCCTGCTAAGTTCCACATCACTTAGGTTGTGATCTGACCTTCTGAGAAGTCAGGAGAATGAAATAGCCAATTTCCCAAAGGTCAGACCAGTTTAAATCTTCAACAGGTATAATAATGAAGTTCCCTCTGCTCTAATTCTTTTTTTTTCTTTTTCTGTCTGGCCAGTTTGGGGGCCTGAACCCAAGACCTTGGTGTTACAAGGCTGTGTTCTACATTGTGCTTTAAGTCTTACACAAGAGAGATATCCTGAAGTAACCTCATGTTAACTAGTGAGTTATTTTCTATTCTGTCTTCCTTACAAGGAAAGTTATTTTGAAATGATAAATAAGCTTTTTGTTCTGTTTCTGCCTACTTCAGCCTTTTTCCGTCCATAAAACCAACCTCCTCTGCTCTGCTCATTTGAACACTTTTTCTATTTTGTGGAATAATTTGTTGTCTGATTTTAGAACCACAGTAAAAGCAATCAAGATCTTTAAATTTGTAATTTTGTTTTTTGANACACAGTAGGTGCTCAATAATTTTAACCCCCGTCTGTGAGGATTTGAAGAATAAGGTGTGAGCTCTGCTGAAACTTATTAAACACTATTTGTTGACATTCAATAAAGGCGATGGGGGTTTTGATGGTTTTCTCATGTTTATTGTCTTTGTAAGATTGCAGAATCTTTCTGCTGAGTGCACCCTTCACGATGAAGTTTAAAATTCTCTGACAGGAAAACAGATTGTGGGAGAAGGTAGATATAGAAAATGTCTTTCATCTGCAGCCCTGCCTCATCAGGTTGGCTAAAACTATGTTGCAAGCTTTTATGTGGCACCAAGCCTTTACAAAATAAATGGAATTCCAGAGATGGCCTACAAAACAACTGACCATTTATTTGGGTTAGTTGGAGAGGAAAAAAACTAAGAGCAGAATAAAGAAGTGTTTCAGGAAACATTTCACAAGCTCTGTATTTGGAGAATTGATGCTATTGCTGTTTGATTGCAAGAGCGTTGACAAAGGTAAACTGAAGTGCATTGAGTTATGGGATAGCAGATATTTTCAACATATTTAATCCATCTCAATACTAGGCTGGCCTTTGCTGAGTCAACCTAGATTCTTCCCCTCCCCCACCTAACTCCACCCCACCTCCATACCGGTGTGATAATAACTTTTAAAAGTCATCTGTATCTTCTTTGGGAAGATGGACCTCCAATATGTAGGGGAGAAAAAGTAGTATCTTTTCCTCGCCTATCACAAGATTCATGGCTGACACCCCTGTAACAAAGGAAGATTAACAAGAGAAAAGCATAACAAA